AGCATAACGGTAAACAATTCCCTATTAACGGTGAGCTTTCTTGTACCAGCACAAATATCATTTACCTAATTTCATGCGACAAATGTCATTTACAATACATAGGCGAAACTAAAAACTCTCTGAGAGAAAGAATTAACGGCCATCGTTTCGACATCTCCCATCATCTGGATAAACCTATTGGGAACCATTTCAACTCTCCCAACCAATCCCTCGCAGATATGAAGGTGGCGCCCATTGAAAAGGTCATCGCAGAAGAAGACACCAACCCTAAAAGTTCAAAACTATACAGGGAGAGCTTTTGGATGGACCAACTAAAAACTATTTCGCCCTGTGGACTAAATATACAGTTTGATTCTCAAATAATCCCATTTGTTGCTCCATTCAATAACATTTCTTGCCAAGCATCCCGAATTATTAAAAGATACTACACAGAATTACAAAATAAATTTCCCACAATTTTTTACAAAAAATTAGTCATAGCTTATTCGAAAAATAAAAATCTACAGGATATAGTTGTTCGTGATCGACTTGACCCCACCGATGATGTAGAGTGATCTAATAGAATTAAATATTCTCATTTTCATTGTCTTTGTACTTTATAATATATAATAGTCTAAACCAATTTACTTTCTATACCTGCAGCCATTAATCCCTTTTCTTCATTATTCCAGAAAATTTGAAACAGTCAATGTAGATTATAAGTATTATGAATTTCTTTATTAGGTCCAAGAAGATTTATAGGATAACCGTTATGATCATCTTTGATTTAGTTCATTGCTTCATTTATTAGCATCACAATTATTGTAAACATAACTTTAACCCTGTGCCAGTGCCTTATATTGAATAGTAACTGGTTACTCTTCAATCACCCTAATCTCTAAAGGCCGGTTTATACTTCACTAAGCAAAGCAGCGAAACGCAGGTATTTTCTTCGCCCAGCTATGAAGCGAAGTTTAACCTTTGCTGTACCTTCGCAAGTTCCTTTTCAGACTAGGTGAAGGAGTAGGATGTGGTCCTACGTCTTCGCTTCGCTTTGGTCTTTGCAACCAATCAGAGACAAACTGGCCTTGACTCATTTGTATTGACTTCGAGAAGCTAAGCGATGCGCAGCGAATCTTTATCTTCAATTCGCTTCGCTCTTTCGCTCATCGGAGTATAAACCGGGCTAAAGGCTCAAATTACACCAGTTTTATTTAACAGAAAAAGTCTGATTAAAATTACAATATATTTTAGTTCCGTTTTTATTAGCTTTTATTTTTAATGCAGCCACTTCAGTTAGGGTCTAAAGACGGCCTCTTGAACATTCGTCAAAATAACACTTCGACCTATAATCTGGTGAATTCTGCTCTAACCAATCGAATTCCTTCAATCTCTCACAAAATCCTAGCGCTAGGGAGGTCAGAAATTTGATTGGTTAAAGCAGATGTCATCAGCTTAGGTCACAAGGTTATTTTGACGAATGAGTGGTCTAATTTTAGCTAGACTGAAGATAAGGTGAATAAATTGACTCGAACGACATTCACTTAAAAAACAATAAGAGAACATTATTTGTTTTGCCTACCATACATATTATAAATTCAATTGCTATTTGGAATTTGTGATTTCTACCTAAAACGTTCACCGGTTTCAGCTATTCGATAGTAAAATTCCAGTAGTTCAAAACAAAAACTATGAAACTTATCACGCGACATCTTTATGGAAGGTTTTGTTTTCGTCAAAACGTAATGAATTGATATGTTTCGAAGCATATCTCGATGCTGTGTCAGTATATGAAATCAATATGAAGTCAGTATATGGAATCAACATAAAGTCAGAATATGAATTCAACATGAAGTCAGTATATGAAATCAACATAAAGTCAGCATATGGAATCAACATGAAATCAGAATATGAAATCAACATGAAGTCAGCATATGAAATAAAAATGTCAGCAAATGTGTTCAACTTGAAGTCAGCAAATGAAATCAACATGCAGTCAGTGTATAAAATCAACATGAAGTCAGTATATAAAATCAACATGAAGTCAGTATACGAAGTCAACATAAGAGGCCTGCATATGAAATCAACATAAAGTCAGGATAAGAAATCAACTCGAAGTCGGCAAATGAAATTAACATGAAGTCAGCATATGGAATCAACATAAAGTCAGCATATGGAATCAACATGAAATCAGAAAATGAAATCAACACGAAGTCAGTGGATGAAATCAACATGAAATCAGTATATAAAATCAACAACAAAGGGACAATGATAGCTTCAATTTGCACCTTTCCTATTTTCAATCAGACGTCTGTGGTTCCTTCAGTTCGACTAAAACTTGATGAGGTCACTAATCACTAGTAACACTAGTATCAAAATTGGAATGGTGCAAATTGACGCCATTAGTGTCCCTAATTCACATCAATTTTTTTACAAAACCTCTTTACAAAAACATGAGAAATCACAAACATCAACAAATAGTAGAGCTTTTCAATTGATAAAGATAGCTGTCCATTCTCCCCAAACAATTAAACTAAAATATCATCTTTATAGATGATTGACCGAATCGTCCATCATTAAAGGGACTGTAAAGAGGTATTCTAAAAAAAATAAAAAATACGTATCGGGAAAACTGATAACATCAATTTGCACCATTCCAATTTTCAATCAGACGTCTGTGGTTTCTTTAATTCCACTAAAACTAAGTGTTTATTGACGTTACTAATCGCTTAGGGCCTATATTGTGATAAAGTATATTTTGCGATTAGTCATCATGCGCTTAGTTTAATTACAGGAACCACAGAAGTCTGATTGTAAATTGGAATGGCGCAGATTGATTGCATCAATGTTGTCGATACACATAATTTTGTTCTAGAAAACCTCTTTACAACCTATTTAACAAACAATCGAGATAAACTTTCATTTATAACAAACCATCGAGATAAAGCTTTATCTTTAACAAACAATCGAGAAAAAGTTTTATCTTTAACAAACAATCGGGATAAACCTGTATCTTTAACAAACAATCGGGATAAACCTGTATCTTTAACAAACAATCGGGATAAACCTTTATCTTTATCCATTTATAACAATCAATCGAGATAAAAACTTTCATTTATAACAAACAATCGAGATAAATCGTTATCTTTAACAAGCAATCGAGATATAGTTGCATTTTTCGAAACGATCGCGATAAATTTACATTTTTAACAAAATATCGAGATAAAATTTCATTTATAACAAAATATCGAGATAAATTTTCATTTTTAACAAAAAATGGAGATAAATTTTCATCTTTAGCTAAAATCGAGATAAATTTTTTAATTTTTAGCTTAAATCGAGATAAATTTTTCATCTTTAGCAAAAATCGAGATTAACTTTCATTTAGAACGAGATAAATAAGCAAACGAGATAAATGTTTATCGTTAGCTAAAATCGAGATAAATTTTCATCTTCAGCTATATTCCACAACACTAAATCCTCCGTATGAAAAACATCTCACGTCTTTATTAGTACACGTTACAAATGCAATTGTAACAAAATCAAAAACAAAAATGGAAGTTTCCGATGATAACGAAAATGGTCGCTAGCTTATAAGGACAGATGCGCCATTATTTGACAAGTCTCAGAAACGGGAATTTTTTAGCTCAGCTAATCATTAATAGTGTTCACAACTCTTTATCGAAATTTGAGCCTTCAAATCCAAGTTTGTCCAGAATTATCCGCGTTTGAACGTTAAAAAAGATTTATTTATTTAAGATACTCTGTGATATATAGAAAAGACATAAATGGAAAAAGTAATTGAAACTGAATTATTCGATTTTCGTACATTTCTGGTACTGGCAATAAGGTCAAGGTTGCTACCTTAGTTTCGAAAAAATATAGCACATACCTTTGAACATGCGCGGGATTGCTATTTAATTGACGATACAAAATAGACAAGCCAACAACAAGTTCAAGGTCATGACGTGTATAAAAGCACCGAGTTCAAGTTACTGTAATTAAAATAGGTTGTCATCTCTACTAGTATAAACAGGACCGTAACTACATGGAGGATTCCTGTCCAATAATTATCGTTGCCATAAAACTGCAACGAAAGCTTATGAAATCTATTCCTTTTGGCGTAGTGAATATCATAAAGAAGAATGCCGCAATTGGACAGAGAGACAATATATAATTCATATTATGATAATACATTATGCTGACGTAAAACGATTCTTTTTAACTACGTTCTATATTTCAATGACAGACTTAACGGGACTGTAAAGAGATTTTCTAAATTTTCATGTGTATCGTGAACACTGATGGTATCAATTTTTACCATTCCAATTTTCAATCAGACGTCTGTGGTTATTGCAAGTGTCTTAACAAATCGCAAAATACACAAAAGTGTTAGAAAAACCCTTTTACTATCCCTTTAAATATCAACAAAAATTATCAGGTGGGACACACCATTGAAGTAATGAACTTCTCAAAAAATTGTCTCTTTGGAACCACCCTATATATGAGAAAATGATATAAGGGATAAACCCATTCGAGATCTTCAAACGATATAGTTTCCGTCATCTTACAGAAGGTTGTAAACTTTTTTTGTAATAATGTAACACAAAACAAACAAACGGTAATTAAATGCAAAAAAAAAAAAAACAAAACAAAAAAAAACAAATGCACACAATGACGTGATGGCATGAACATTCAAAATATAAATAACATAATTCATATGTCAATTTGAGTTGTGACGTCACACTGGGAATGCAGAAGTCTTGTTTAAATAAAAGATGTAATAGTTCAAATATTGAGGTATTACATCACGTGGTCATTTATTGACAGACGTACACATCTTCCCGCCATTTCTCACTAAAGGTCACTAAGTATTAAGCCTGGTAACGCCACCTTGCAGCGTTGCCATAGAACCGCGTGCCGGAGTATGCATTTTTTGTATAACCGGACTGTAAGGTATTTTGTAAATGTTCTAAAACACACAAGATTGGGCGATTGACCTAAAATTTGAAAAACGCCTACCTACATGTACAAGAATTTACAACAAGCCCTGAAAGTTCAGCTTGCATCAAGTCATGATTTTCATTAAATAATAAAACAGTTAATGATGATGTTTCCGCAGGTTTACATCGCGAGCGTCTGGAACGAGATCGTTCGGTAGGAATTTGAGTCTGATCACGATTGTTTCGTCTTCCGTTGTGTCTCGTTCTCGGACACCGCCCTATACAGCTACCCGTCATGTAGCCATTCGGAGTAACGATTCGATCATCCAGTCCCAGATCACTGAAATTCACAAACGATGGTAATTTACAACATTGTCCCGTATATGTTGTTCCGGTTGGAATCTGTTCACAATTCTCCACTAAGGAGCGTCGCGATCGCACTTCCTTTCTGCGCTTTTCCAAGACAATGAACGGTCTTCTAACTGAATTGGCCACTCGCATTGTACCGCAATCTTTCCTGTTCTTCCCTTTGCCTTTTCGGTTCTTATTTTTGGATTTCTTTTTGCGTTTTCGACATTTTTGATCTTCGGGTAACACAAGTTGCGTTTTACGGTTGCACCGTTTACATTCCACGCGTAACAATACCGTATCGTTCACGTGTGTTGATGGATTTTGGATCACAGAAACGGGTAAACTGATTTTGTACCATTTGGTTTTTTGAATTCGGGTTCGAAATTCAGCGATCTTCTTGCCCTTTTGTTTTTCATCTTTGACACTAAACACTCGAATTCGAATCAATTTTCCTTTCCGTACCTTTTTCTTAAGCTTTCCAATTCGTGGTCGTCGTCGTTTTCGTTCCTTTTTCCAAACATGTACCCACAAATTAACCCTTGTGAGCTCGGTATCGTCTGTTATTTCATTCTCTGTTAATTTGAATTTCAGAAGATTTTTGCCTGAAATGAAAAAAGTAAATTTGGTTTAACTCAGTGTGTCAGTTAAAGATGGATTCCTTATTTTTTTAGTGATAAATTAAGCAAACTATTTGATTAATAGGTGTTTCTAATGAATTGCCATGTATTCTTAATCATAACGTTATGTTCTTATGCATATAATTAAGAGTTTTAACCAATCATAAATATCCATGTATGTACAGTCTGGATAAACACAAAAAGGACTTTTTGACTCATTAGAATTCTGCTGGTAATTATCTTCTAATTTAGCTAATTATGAATTAATTATGAACATGTGAGACAAGCTGGTATTTTTCTAAGTCATCAGAACACATTAGAAATATACTACATGCACGAGCTGCAGACAGTGTCGATGCTAGTCTTCCGCGACTTGCGGTACAAATAGGGGACAGACTGACTCAATGGGGGGACAATTGTCGAGGCTGAATTCAAAATGCGGAAAATCTGTGGAGGCGTCACAGTCGCAAGCCTTTTTATGGAACTTCTGTGTAAATTTCGAAAAATTGAATGGATTTGGTGCATTCTGCTACATATTTGGGGACATGACAGTATAAAAATCATGTTTGTTAATTTGTTAAAAATAAAGTGGGGGTACAATTGCGGGCGCAAACCGTTTTTCTATGTCCTCATTAAATGAACCTTACTGCCTCACTGCACAGTGTATTTTATTAGTTTCGTTTCGAATGTTCATTAGCTATTAGCTATTAGCCTTGTACAATAAGGTCTAACACTGTCCTTCTTGACTTTTCATTCTGTTAACCTTTGCTTAACTAATCACATGGCTGCCCTATCAGCGACGGGATAATGTGGCGCGAACAATAGGTGCATTCCGAGACTAGCGAACTTGATAAGCTGGACCAATATGCCACGGAGGTCAAGCAAAGGTTAACAGAATGAAAAGTCAGGAAGGACAGTGTCAGACCTTATTGTAGTGGTAACATACCAAGCTAATATAACATTCGAAACGAAACTAATAAAATATGAACAGAATTTAGGTCTAATTTTAATTAGATTGGAACAGTACAAGATGAACTCGGTTTAGTTCATTGCTATTGGTAACTTTCTCCGCCCTGCTGCCTTTCTGTTTTGGCAGACTCGATCAATACCTTTAATTCAAAAAACATGATTGCTTCATCGATGAATCATCCGGAAGTAAGATACACTTTTCTCTCCTTTATATTCCTCTGTCAGACAAGGTAATCGTCAAAATAAGTCTTAAGAATCGTTCTTTCCAAATTCTGAATGAAAAACATCAGACAGTGATCGAATCAAGGCTTTTGATTGTCCGAATTTGATTACCGTAAAATTCTCATTTGGGAATTCCAAAGGATATAAGTAAGACATTTTAATCATGTATTGCTCTACTTGTTTCCAACTCAGCAGTCCGCACAGAACATTATACTCTATCTTAAAAATTGTACCGTCTTTCAATAAGCGGTGCCAACTTCCCGAGACTACGAGTACAAAAAGGGTGCCCACTGACTAAATTCAGGGGGCTTGAGAGACAACTGTCGAAATTGAATTCAAAATCCGGCAACTCTGTGGGCGGGTCTTCAAGCACACCTCTAGTGGGGCGTCTGAGAGTGTCCTGGGTATTGGATAGTTTATAACAAGGTTTCTAGAAAAGTTGAATAGATAAATTGTCTTCAGAAGTACTAGAATTGTATGAAAATCGCACAATTCCTTTAAGAAGGAACTAAAGAATTTCTATTTCTGATTCTATATAATGTCTTGTTTATAAATAGTAGAGTCTCGAGAAAAGGCGAGTCGTATTTTTAACTTTCTAACGCTGACAATTCTGGACACACTGGGATTTGAAAGCTCAAACTTCGACGGTGAGGCTAAGGTATGATTGGCAAACGGGTGGCGCACGCGTCCCTTTAATATGGAAACAGATGGTAAATGAATTAGTTGACTTGGTCCTGTCTACAGATCTATAAGAAGATTACAATATGTCATCTTTAATGTGATAACGTGACGTAGGTGGACAAAGACTGAAGAATATCAAACCAAGTCTATTGTCATCATGTTTATTATCAATAAGCCACTGTCGGCTTTCTTCCATGATTCACAATGGATGATTGTCGACCAGAATGCACTGACAAGTATAGCGGCACCAGCCTACCGAGATTGACAAATATCTCTAATAGATATCTAAAAGGAATGACGAGTAAACCACGTTATGTATACCTTGCAGTATGTACTGACCACTGGCGGCCCCAGACTGGGGATACAAATAAGGGACAGACTGACTCAATGGGGGAACAACTGTCGACGATGAATTCAAAATGCCGCAACTCTGTAGAGTCGTCATATTCGCAAGCCTCTCATGGAGCGTCTGAAAGAGTTCTTCCGAGAAATTTTCGAAACTTTTAATTAATTTGGTTAACTTCCCAATTTTTTATCAATTTCAAGTGGCCTCGAGGGAAAGTTTTGTGGTATTTGCTTGCCTCCATCGCCTTATGTTTTCCAGAAACGCCACTGCAGTTTTAGGCGGTTCCGATACGGGTCTTTCAGTTGAATTATGTTGTCGTGGAAAAGATACAACGTGTATGTGATAAAGATAAAAAACGTGTTAATCGGTAGCCATTTTGAAGAGCCACGCGTTTTTATTTCGTACTTTATTAATTTATGATATTGACTGTCAATAGAAATCTTATATTTGAACTTTCAGTGGGAGTGAGATTAAATAATACAGCTGATTACCTTATCAACGGCTGATAACAAATACTCCTTCAAAACAGGAGAGCTAAATTATTATTCAAGAGATGACAACCACCTACGTAAAAATGGAGCCGATTCCTTACTCCCGTTTAGCTAATTTAGAAAAAAGCGGCTTTTAATTACTATGGAGTCCAACTTATCAGCTGCCTATTTTTTCGGAATCCAAATCCGGCGTCAAATTGCCCTGCAATTCTACAAAAACATGCAGCTCATTTTTGATCCTTGATCAATTGCATTACCCTTTCCATATAAATTCTTACTATTACCACCCTTCCTTCAATAAATCCTAACTATTACCCCTCTTCCCCTATAAATCCTTATCATTACCCCCTATAAATCCTTACTATAACCCCCTTTCCCCCAATTATCTTTATTATCACCCTCTATAAATCCATAGCATTACCTCTCTTCCCCCTATAAATCTTTACTATTACCCCTCTTCCTCCTATAAATCCTTACAATTTCCCCCTTTCCTCCTATTAATCCTTACTATCACAACCCCCTTTCCCCCTATTATCCTTACTACCACAACCTATAAATCCTTACCATAACCCCTAATCCCCCTATAAATCCTTCTCTTCCACTATAAATCCTTACTATTTCATAATTTTCTCGTAGGTTTTCCCTGCAACCTGTTGTTTCATGTCGGATAGCTTTACCAGTTGCGGAGCCAAAGAGGGGGAGGGGGGCAGAGGAGTCAACCCTCGTAGCCCCGAAAGCAAGTTTTTCTGGCAAAAATCTCATAACTAGGTTAGAAATTCAGGCAATCTCAGATATTTCGCCCTCGGGCGTTAACCTGGTTCCGAAACGACTGAGCTTGCTTCCGTTTCCACATTTGTAATAGCTTGTAAAATTAATTAGAAAACTTAATTAAATCATTTCCTAGTAATTTTTTAAGTAGTTTTATTGCGACATAGCTCATTTTGATGAGAGTAATAAAGGCCACAAGTGTTTGAAAATACGAAAATAACTAAAATGTAAATTCAAAAAGTACGAAAATAAATCAAAAGTGGAATTTAAACAGTGTCTGATTATCAAGTTTCGATGAGGAGGGTAGAATATATCAGTTGACGCCTTTAATAGTTTTTCATGGACCCGCCAGTCCATTAGACGTCTGACGTAACAAAACATACCAAAATAGTTTTTCATTACTGAAGAGTTACAGGTTTTGTTGACTTTATGTTTCAACATCTGTAAAAAATATTATCCATTTTCACGAGCGCCTCACGATTGACTACTTGACTTTACCAAACCATCTTCACTACGTTTGAATAATTCTACTGACGTAAGTCATGAATGGAAGCTAATCGGAAACACTTTGTTCGATTCTGATTTTGTTTGTCATTTTAAAAGATGTCGTTTGGAACCAAGGGCGTACGTTGAAAATTCCTGAGGAGGGACCAAATATGAGAAGTGGCCACCGGAAGCCCCAGATGTCAACGGTTGAATTTTGAGCATTAAGAGGGCTTTCACTACTGTGTGATTTTTGCGATATGGCTAGAACATGTGAACTAAGATCTGTCAGTTTGAAAAAAATATCACGATAGGCTAATTGCTCAAAGGCCCGTAGCCAGACTTTATTTTTCGGGTGTGCGTGTGGAGGGGGGGGGGGGAGGGGGGGGGGGGGGGGGGGGTTTG